GGTGGTTGCTGTCAGGCCCCGTCATTGCGGGGTGTTCAGGGAGGCCCACTAGGACAATGGTTTGTGGCACCGCTCTCTCTCTCTCTCTCTCTCTCTCTCTCTCTCCCTCCTGCTTGCTGCAGGCAAAGACCAGGTGCATCTCCCGGCCTACCCCGCGGGGTGTGCGACTGTCTCTCTGCTCTCTCTGTCTCTTGGACTCCTCTTACACTCTTGGCTAACTGGAAGAGCCCTCAGTCGAAAGAGTCTTCTGCCTAACGACCAATCGCCGCACCAATTCCTTGTGACCCGCAAAGCTTGCCTTGACTCTACTTTATCTGTATGTGTGTTGATCGCAGCTTCAGGTGAAGCCGCGACGAAGGGGAGATGGAGAAAAGACGGTGTCTGAATGTGCCTGAAATAGGCCCCACCATGAATCACGGGAAAACAAGAGGTGTCCCCTTCGCCAACCCAAAGTATTTGGCCCTTCCCGAAGTCCTCATTCGGCAGCGCAGATCATATGGCAAACCTGGGGGCTTTCGTGAAGCAGGGCTCAGTGCTATGGTGAAGAACTATCTTCGCATGGTACCACTGCGAATATAGACCCAAGTGCTGATCCAGAAGCCTTGTTCTTTCATCATTCTGTTGAGCTCTGTCATCTTCTTGCGGAAGCCCTGGCTCTCAGCATTCATGTCCTCGTTTGCCACATCGCCGACACTCACGGTGTCAAGGTGTTGTAAAACTTTACACTCTGACATGTGGAAGCTCGGTAAGCAGCACGCATCTCTATAATCCATTACAACGGCTAAGCGCGCTCCAAGCTACACTGACGATCGCACAAACTTCTCCCAGCACATAGGCCCAGCACAATCCCGCTGTAAGGACAATGAGCGTGCACACGCAACGTTCAATGATGTTCCTCAGCAAAGCAAGAACGTTGATTCACAGACTTGCCAACTGCTAGCCACATGCGAACATGCATTTGGCAGTGTCTGCCAAGTCTCTTCGGTCCGATGTCACCGTAACCGACGGAAGTCATCGTGTAGGTGCAGAAGTAGAGGGAGCTGATGTAGGTGCGCATAGGATCTTGGCGGGTTTCGATACCGAAGAAGCGGTCGATGGCCTCGATGTCATTGATCCACTGTGGCTTGTCTGATTCGCCCAACTGCAACGTCATAGCCCATATGCACGCCAGCCAATGGCAAACCATGCACAAGATGAGCAAGAAGCGGAACAATGCAAACTGCTGGTAGGGAATCGAAATAGCTATCTCAATCTTGTGGAGCCATCGTGAGGTCTTGAGAATTCGCATGAGCTTCAAGAGTCGGAGAGCTCGAATTGCTTTGCTGGCCTTGCCTAGGCCGACATCATCTGCCTGGAACGTAAGCTCAAAGATGTCAAAGGGGATCAAGGTAATGAAGTCCAGAGCAAACCATGACGTCATGTAGTGCCAAGCTATCTTGGTAACCCTCTGCTCCCACACGATCCCTCTGGGAGTTGTGCGAGGGTACATCGTGACGAATTGGAGAAAAACGTCGCACAGGAAGATAGTGTCCACGAGCGTACTAAGAGTAAGGAGGAGATCCCACTGGACAAGCTCCAAGAGGCCAACCTGGTAGGGGACGACAATTACGACGAACGCCAAAGCGCCCATGGTAACCACCTGCCATGCCGCAAACTTGTTGCTCCTCTGTGGATTCACCACATACCAAGGCTTCCTCTCGTAGTTGGCGGTTGGGGTCGTGCGCATTTCTGCGAACTTGGCCTTCAAGACGGCATCAGGATCTTTCGCTGCGAAGGTCTGCATTGAGCCCCAAACTCGTACCGGCTCGGTTGACTCAAGCTCCCCACCGGTGTCCTTGCTGTCCTCTTTGCCTGAGTGCTTCAAGGTCAAAAATCAAAGCACGTTGAAAAAAGCCGTCTCAGACAGAGCTACACACGACTAGGCCAGCTGCCGCCTGTGTTCGTCCGGGTTGGAGCCTCTTGCTCGTCTCGGTCATCGTTCCCATTCCATGGCTTCACCTCTGACAACTGGCATGCTGCACTGTATGACGACTCACTCCGATTGCCCTTGTTCTGGTTCTCCTCAAGCACGTTCAAAGCATCAGGTCTTGGAGAAATAGGTGAAGTTATTGGAGATGCTATCGATGGAACTTCACCTGGCGCGTGAGTCATGCCTACTTAATTCTCATCCTGCTGCCCATGTCCAACTCATGAAGCAGAGAGCCTGCCTTCGCGTAGCCGCTCGTTCTCGATTTCGAGATCACGCAATTTTGCGGACTGTCGCTCGAGTTCAGAGCTAAGCTGATGAAGAATGTCACGCCAACGCTCCGTCATGGATGCACTCGGATCACCCAAGAGCGTCTCTTTTTGAAAGAGATGTCAGGGGTAAGGTCCTACGAGTGTCTGAAGCCATATGTAGCGACACACAGCAACAATGACGGCTCCGCATCACCTATTGCAAGCAAAAGCCTCTGACCGGTACAGCCACAAGCAGTTCAAGACTCAAGGCAAACAAAACATCTAATTGCGGCTCCGCTTCTGATCGCAGAATCCGATGATCGGCAGACCGGCTGCACCCAAGCTGCTTGACGCTACTTTAGCGGAGCAATGCCGCATAATGGCACTGTGACACTTGCTTGAGCCAGCAATCGTCCTTGTATGACGACGAGGGTCTTCTGCTTGTCAGTGCATGGCATCGAATGGTAGTTGAGCAAGACGCGCGCACACACACACGCTCTCTGAGGTGTCTGCGACGAGCTGCTGGGCTCTGAGGGTGCGTCATCCACCTGCCCAAAAGGGCGCTTTTGGACGACGTGCATGCATCCAACAGGCTGCATCATATCTACACACAAACAGACAGAACTGTTCGTAATTAGATGGTTAGACAGGTAGCTAGATGGATGGAATGGTAGATAAATAGATTGACAGAACATGCTTAAAGGCATGCAACTCCTGGAAGCAAACTTGAGAACCGGCAGACGCCCTCGGTCCTCTCTAACGAATTGGCGGTCTGTGCTTTTTGTTGACTTCTTGGGCATTCCGAGCAAATGCCGCTGGAAAGTCGCATACCTGAGTTGAACCGCCGTATACAGTGGGTCTCTGACCGCATGACCAGTCAGAAGAGTCACGCAGAATTCCGGGTTCACTCCAGCGGGAGTGCAACTCTCGTGTGCCTGGTTCAAGTCACAATGTCTCGATAGAACGCGTGGGAAGCGACTTGGCAAAGTCTCCGAAGACAAAATGAGTGCCCGGTGCCTGGTAGGTTGTCGCCTGCCGAACTTCGGCTTGTCCGGAGAAAGTAGGTAGCCAAGGCTCCCCCTCTGCCTTCCAGGCTGTCCCACAGAACCTCTTCGTGAATGACGGGCGCAGAAACCCAGCCGCCAAGCCTGCTCCGTGAACCATCGGACATCGAAAACAACCTTTGCGGCCAGATGTAGGCAGTGTCAAGCAGGATGACTGGCTTCTCACATTGAAAATTACGAGTATACCTGACCTGTAACATCTTGTAACTTAACAAAGGCACCACATCGGCGAGGATTCCGGCCAGAATGGGCCGGATTGCGATTCCTGAGACATAAACACCATCTTTCCGAACATGCGGCAAGGCTTTCATCAGTGCTGAAGGTTGACCGAAACCCGTCAAGGAGTGCAGTCGAAGCAGCTGAGATCGGTGTGGAAAGTTGGGTTGAAGCCAAAGGATGCAATCTCCAGCACGGCCTCCACAGATCAAGCTTCACTTTACGGCCCCTTTTTGCATCTGGTCTCCATGGATGGCAGCCAGAACACATGCAACAGCTCACGCACCGGAGCAAATTAGATTACTGACTACGTAGCCTTCACTCTAATTACGGCCACCACGGCCGGGATCCGGAATCCGGAATGCTTACCAAGCTCGAACCGGGTTTGCACTTCTCCTGCGCAGCTGCGAAGCGAGCACAGCGCGCACCAGCGGGCGCCAGAGCCTGCAGTCCAGGGTCTTCCGTCCTTTGAGTCAGTTCTTTGTTCGACCATCTTTCCAGCACTTGTTGCACCAAGCATGCCGCAAACTGTATAGGAAGCGAGAACAACCTTGGCCTCGTTGAGAAGCTGGAGGGTCGCCATGATGGCTTTCTGGGCAAAGTCACGGCACTGCTCCTTGAAGCGCTCCTGATTGCAAATGCTGCAAGTCATGGGCCAAGAGCCAACATGGAGCTTTGCTTTGCAGCTTTGCTCTGGGCCAAGCCTGCTCATCCAGCCCATGACGCAGCCAACGATCGGCCTCGGGAAGATGGAAATCGGCCTCTGACTTCCGACGCTTTTGACACTTCCCAACATCTACTTCCTCATAGCTAAAACAAGGCTCACCGTTGCAAGACGTAGGTCGGCACGGTTCACGGCAGAGACTGAGCCGGCAGCAGCAGAGCGGTTCGGCGCAAAAGCAAGAACCGGGTACCGCGAGCGTGTAAAGTCAGACCTCAGGGCTTCCCCACGCGGCCACGCGGCCAATGAGCCGAATTGTGCTACAAGTAGCATGCCCTGGGCCGCTCCGTAGGCCGAGCCAGTGAGGCTGTTTGCGCCCTTCTGCACAGCTTGAGTTCTCAGACCGCAGCAGCTCGGAGGGCGCAACGCAAAGATGAACCGACCGGGTGTCCTTCACAGCTGCCAAGGTGCCGCTCACTTCACGGCCAGACGAGACTGGATCCAGCACAGACGAAAAGGCCCGATTGATTGACTGACAGCGCACATGCGAGCTCCATCGCAAAAGGAAACACCCTCAATCGAAGTCCTGCCAGGGACAGTTGTCCAACGAGATGCCCGCCTCAATGACGAACGAGCTGATATGAACTGCACTTCGGAAACGTCTTGGGATGGTACCAATATCTGTTGCAATTTCTTCCACGAGTTGCCACTGCCACATTGACTGGAAGGAAGCATGATGATGCTCCTTGCACTAGTTGGTACCTTCTCTGCTGCATCCAACCACGCAAAAATCATCGAATGTGCTAAGGAACTGAACGAGCGGAAATATGCGAGTTGACATAGCGAACGGAAGCCCCCTTGCCTCGGCACAGTTTCGCACCCCAGGCCGAGGGAACCTCAGGCACGGTGATCAAAGACTACAGCATGCGGTGTGAGCACTTCGAACCGGATTTTTGCGATCGCAATTCCTTCAAGAGGCTGTCAGCAAAACCCCCAGTGGCCAGAAAACTACACTTCAGCTTTGGGAGGGTTCGACTTTTCGCGACCACTTTACCCTGCCCACCGATTCTTGTAGGTCACATCTCACGAGCGATTCAACACTAAGCTAAGCTGCAGCAGAAAATCAATCCAATATGGCTTGTCACTAGAGTTCCAGCTGCGGCAACTTGGAACACCAATGGCCTTGTCTTGTCGCCGGATGATAAGAAAGTCTCCGCAGTCTTGCAAACTCTTTCGGACTGGTTCTCGGGCCGGGTGCTGCGCTTCAGGATGTGGAGCTTTACTTTTCGGACTTCTACAACTTAGAAGAAGAGTTTTCCACCTGCTTAACAGCGTTACATGCGAGAGAACCAATTCCGTCAAGCTTTCCAGATTCTAGATGATACACAATCCAGTGCTGATCAAGGCTACGGCTGCCTCCAGCCAAGGCACAAGAAGAAGCTCTCCGGTGTGAAGACGTCGGTTAGCCGGCTGGGAAGCTGCACCCTGCGCCGATGCGCACAGCAGAGTCAAGCAGCCGAGGCAAAGAATGTTTAAAGTTGTGCTTCATGTGTTCTGAGTGATATCCTCCTAAAGACCTGCGTCGCGCAGCATGATTTAGCCGAGCACGGATGAGATCTACAGGAGTCTGTCGGGACAAACAGCATGATTGCGCAGACCATCTCGACCACGGCAGCCATTGTCGGTCCATGCAAAGTCTGCTAGTTCCCACTGCTTCGCAGACCTCTCCTGTGCAGAGAAATGAACCTGGCCCAAAGCAACGCGGATGTAAGGTGGCCACTGGTAGGAATCCCAGTCCATGGCCGAATGGCCCTGCAGCCATTCGCTCCAATGGGGAAGAACGGCATGCTGCAACGCAACTCGTTCGGCATGGCGTTCGTCCGAAGGGCTTCGCAGGACAGGGTGCAAGAAGCCGGGCGATGGCAGAGTCGTCCAATTCCTGAGGAAACTTCGTCCCCAGTCATTTGTCTGCAGGAGGAGAACCTCTGGACCTACACCGAGGCTACTGGCCGACACCAGCATCGATGCAGCAGATGCACTGGTGACTCCATGCTTGGCCAAAAGCTTGGTTACAGGCATGTCGAGGTCTGTGAGGAACACTTCGCAGTCGACCCACAGCAACCAGGAATAAGGGCTCGAGGAACCCATGACAGACAGCAGTGCGTATGCCCGCCAGTACGCGGGAGCATTTGTGCGCGTGAGGTTTGTTCCAGACGGAAATGCCGCTACAATGTCATGGGCATCGTTGAAAAAATGGAGGTCATATCCATGCTTGGCAGCATAATGCTGACGATTTGCCTTGCTCCTGGCACGTGCACCGGAAGCGTGAATACCTGCGCACGCCGTGACCACGGCAACAGCGGGTTCCTGGCCGGCGGGAAGTTGTGGTGGCTGTGATGGATAGGTGGGAAAGAGGACCTCACCCAGTTGTTGAAACGCTGCTGCAAGGTCGCGGCCTCGCAGAGGCCACTGTGTGCATTCCTGATGGGCTCTTGTCGGCAGCATGGCCAAAGCAAACTGAATCAGACTCAGTTGTTTCAGTTGCTGTGAATTGTCATTGTTTGCAGGGTCTTTGGCCGTAGCGGCTATGACTTCTGCAAGGCTGTAGCTGGCAGTTGCCACAGCTGATGGGCACTGGCTGGCAAGCTCGAAGCTCTGGGCCACCAGCGCCAGCAAGCTAATCAGCTGCCCACGAGCTGCAGCCGGCCCCTCCCAGAAAACTGCATTCCGAGCCTCGAAGATTTCCCCGATCACCGCCGTCCAGTCGAGTGTTGGAGTAAAGCGGTTCGGCGGTCCACATTCATCGGCCACTGACCGCGCGAAGATCTTCTCGGATGTACAGGGCTGTGCCGCCACAGGGTCAGACACTCCTCTCGCGAGTCTGCTGAGAATACTCGCCCAGACAAGCACCTTTGGGCTGAGGGGAAGCGAGCTCAGAGTCCGCGTGAAGCCCATCCTTCTCGAGCTATCTGGGACAAAGCCGACAGAGCGAGCGCAGAGCTGTTCATGGGCACATCGCAGCGTGGTTGACTCATGTAGGCATTGTCTTTCATGCAAGCGAAGAAAACGGCAGTCCAGCAGCCTAAGTTTGACGACTGATCCATCTTGAAGCTAGTCTGCTGCAGGGATACTACTGTTTCGATTGCTAGCTCAAGCAAAGCCCCGAGTTACGAGTTATGAAAGGTCATTCACCCAAGAGTCATGCAAAGCTGCATCGTGGCAAATTATTCGAGCATGTCGCCCCCGTCAAGTGCTCACAATGCTGGCTAACAAACACAGACGCCTGCTTCATCAACATATGCACAAGCCACATCACACGCATCTGATGTTTGAACATGACGTTGAATCACGGTGCACAAATCATTCCCCTGCCGCCTGCTCACGGGAGAAGCTACAAGCACCTCGTGAGGCTGTACGCGCACGACCATCACACAATGCCCTCTGAAGCTTGCACATGCCCGCGTACTGCTGGATATTAGAACCAGGCGCTACTGCATGTTTATTTCTGCAATAATCTAATATGGCCTTCTATCATGTTTTACCTGATTTATCCTGGACCTTGACCTACCTACCGACCTCTACTTGCCTACATTTCCACCTGACTATCTGTGCTTTTGTCCCGCTCTGTGAATCCGTATGCATGTAGGGTACTTACAAGTTCACTTGAGCGCATGCACAAGCACATGTGTGTGGGGTAGAGTTCAAGCTTCTGTTTATTCATGTGTTTGGTCTGTGCATGTATTGCTTCCTCGTCGTGCTGGCTATATTATATATATATATATGGAGTGCGTGTACCTGTATGTACACACATACACAAAATGGAAAGATTGATACATTGTAAACAGATGCACAGGAAGATATTATAGGCGGTTAATAGGACCTGAGTAGGCAGCTGGGCAAGTAAGTCAACAGGTAAAGAGACACAGGCCGACTGTACGGATCTCTGGTTCACAGTTGAATGTCATAACCTGCACCTACCTATCCATCGTCCGTCTGCCACTGTCTCTGTGAAGTGACATTCTCGAAGGTCCCGTTCAGCAATGGCACGAAACGCAGACTACAGTTGAGCATCAAATATCCCCGTCTTTTTGGGTTGTCGTCTACCCTTCTCCTGGTGCCGGCTGGGCCTTCTGCACGTGCCAGCTCCGGAGCTTGTCCAATGCTTCGATGGCCGAAGCGCCCAAATCCAGGGCGGGGTGCGCTGTGTGGCGAATGGACGTGTAGACATCCTGAGACGCTTCTTGCAGCTCCAAGGTACAGTTCGGTTCAGACGAAGGTTTGACGGTCTCGGGGAAAGGCCACTGCTGGTCACTGGTTTCAGGGTACAGATGGTTGTGGCACGACCGCAGGAATGCACTTTGGCATCGTCGTGCATCCGAGGAGACCACGAACCAAGTGAGGATGCGCTCTGGGACTTCGTACATCTCAAAGATCTCCCTAGTGAAATTGGCGTGAGTGTCCAAGAAAGCCTTCAACAGAATACGTCGAACTCATGGAGCTGTCGAGCAACTCTTGAAAGGGCCCCGAAACTGCCTCCCATTCTGCAGATGTCTCCGCCTCTCGCAAGCCGACCAAGGAATCCTCGCAGCTGATGCGGAAAATAGTCAGTGCAAGAAGAGCCTACCTGACCTTGTAAGACAGTGCCACGATCGCAGACCGGGACTTGTAGAAGTGCAGAAAGGGACTGCGTTGCCTAAGGCGGAAGCAGGTTGACCATTGCTAGTAGTCCAAAGACCCCGAGTCTGAGTAGCACACTCGCACAAGTAAAACAGGTCAAGCCTTCCGTGGTCCGAACCTACCTGGGCGCTCAGCATTCGCCCAAGCAAACCAAGAATACAGCAAGAAGCACTTTCCTGACCTGAATGTTCACTTCACTCTCTCTCAAAGGTAGTCAAGTGGCAAACACAATGTCACCATTTTGGGAGTCCGCCGAGAAGACCTGCCGCTCTCTAGAGTGTGTCCCCAAGGGCTTCGACCGACTAACAGCAGAGTTTCGATGGATGCCGGAGCCGCGCAACAGCTCATGGCCGCTTTCATAGATCCGGAGCAGATTTACTTCACCATCTCAGTCTTCCAGCGCCGTCCTCCCTTCGTTCGAGCCCCTTGGGAGTACGGGTGGGAGCTCCTTTTCGGAAAGATCGTGGTGCAGAAACCCATTCTCAATCGGGTCTCAAGCAGCCCTTTCAAGAGCTTGGTTCAGGGTCGCAGCTTTGAACCCAGCACCACCCGAACCCACAGATGTCGGAAGACCTTGGCCAGATGGGATGCCACAGTTCGGTCAAGCAGCGGCAGGCTCTGCGCCTCAGCTGCAAGCTGGCTGCTGAGCTGTATGAAGTCACTCGAGAATCGGTTGGTACTGTGAACCTCTAAGTAAATGAACGGCTTCAGCTGAAGTCGCATGCTGACTTTCTGATGAAGCATGTGATGTCTTCCGCGAATAGCTGACACAAAGCTCACAGCTGGGCTGTACAGTGCTATGAACTTCAAAGCGAAGGAGGAGGCTATGCCATTCTGTACCATTGCTCGTGTCGTACTTACCAAGTGACCTCGCAAGGCGTGCACCCCCCGTCGTTAGACATTGAGCAATGATTCAAACGCCTGAGGCACCCTGAGGAACAAGTGGCCTTGCCCCAAGCGCGAGCTGCGCAGTAGCTCCGATAGGGCATGAACTGAAACTTAAGCAAGGTCTGTCGTAGCCATCGGCCGCTCTAGTGGCTGAGTGCCCACGGATGCCGGCCCCAAAGAAAGCAACTACAAAATTACATCTCGAGTTCACTGCAGCCGGCCGGACCCATGAACTCAGCACCATCCGAGCAGGTCTGGAACGGTCTCAGCGTGTATTCGGGTGGCAGGCACACACGGGAAACTCAAATCGTAACTGAAGGCAAGCTGAGTTGTCGGATTCTGTTGGACGTTGCGCCTGCTACCCTTGTGCGAAATGCGCCGGCTCCACTGTCCCTCGTGCCCAGAGCGGCAGACACTTCAGATTAAACGAACCAGACAACGAACTCTGGGCACAATTCTATGGAAAGGCGCGAACAAACGCAATGCTTTTCTACGTCCGTTCATCAGGGCATAGGCCTGCCATGATACAGTCGGAAAGGCCCGACAGCCCACTTTTATTTTTTCCATAGGATGCCACATGGCAGATGCAAAAACTACTCGGCACATTGAGTGCAACAACAGCAACTATCTAAATCTTGGTGCATCGGCTGCCTGGCCTGTCTAACTGGCAGTTCATGGAGTGGTTTGTACAGGTGGCAAAAGAAAGATTGTATCAGATTGGGGGCAGTCGCAGATCCTACTAAGTCGACAAGGTCACAGCACTTTCAGCGATTACTGGGTTGGGTTGGCGTCGGCGTCATCCCCCAAAAAGGCAGTATTCAAGTATTAAGCAGCTGCAGTTTAGACATCACTGTGATCTTCAAAGGGTCAGGTCTGCTGCAGCTCCGGTAAGGTCTCGATCACTTGCGTCTCACCTTGCAAGATACATGGCCACACCTTGTGCCATCCGTCTGACTGGGAAAACTCCTCTCCTGCAAGATCACTGAGTTGGTGCCGCCAGGTGGCTTCTCGAGACCTTTGAAGGGGTCCTCGACGTCCCTCTTGCCGCATTGCTGATGCATCTTCTCCGCGTCCTCCTGTCCCGCACGCTTCATGCAGTCAGTGCGCGTGGATGTCGAGAAGGGTCTCCGGTCCATCTACATTCCAACGCGAAAGCTCAACAAAAGACTCCCTGGCATCACTGTGCAAACGCTGCAGTAACACCACTTCCTGCACGGCGCGCATCATCTGCCTTTCGATCAAAGCCGAAGACGTGCGAAGGACATGAAATCCGCTGAAGGACAGCCAGCTCGGCCAAGTCACTCGCGCTGCTGTTCAGGCGTCAACGTTGCGACCTGGGCAACACTGCTCCAACCCATGTTCCTTCGGGCCCCAACTCTTCAGCACGTTCTTCAGTTGCTGGCTGTGCTTTGTGCTGGGGCAGCAAAAGCTGCAGCCACTTTGTCGGGCAGCTGCACCCGAGCTGCACCATCGGAATGGCCTGATGTTCCACAAATTCTCATGATCTTTGCGGGCGATTCTCGCAGATTGGAAATATTGCCTCGCCCTGCTCCAGCCAAGCAGCCAGCAGATCCTGAAGCACCAGTCAGAGGATCGAAGCTGCTGAGCAGGTCCTCACAGGAGCCGACACACGCAAGCTCAACACCGGCCCGGAAAGCTGCTTTTGCAGACGGTATTCAAGTTTCGGAGTTCAGAGGGTTCTGTGATGCTTTGCGTAGAGGGGTGTCGGTGCTGAAATCGCCGCGGCCGAATCAAGCTACACCACGTGTAGGTGGCTTCGGCCCATTTGCCACGAGGGCACTTGAGCAATGGAGAAGAAGTGCTCTCTCGACAAGCAACCGCGAGAACAGATGCATGCTTCGTCGATTTCCAGCCCGGAGGCTCACCCTTGAACACAGTCTGGCCTACTGCAGTCTGTCTAAGACCTGCTTTGCATTTGCTACGGGTGGTTCTCCAACATGAAACAAGAGATGATAAGTGAAGCAAGGCCTTGCTACCTTCGCCGCATCACGGGCCTGCTGACCCGGAAAACTTTGGCAAAAAGCCTGTCGTCAGCATTTGGAATCCAAAAACAACTCACTGGGCACTCCAAACAATGAACGGGATCTGCGCTGCAAATGCTTCCAGATCAAAAAGCAGCTCGGCGGTCAGTTGCCACTGGTCAGCAGATTCACAAGCACCTATCACAGCGCTGATGCCGGTCGCATCCATTTGTAGGTCTGCAAGTTCCATGTTCTCCAGCATGCCCAAGGCTCGCTGCCATTCAGTGCAAACGGCACAGGCTCCAATGGCACTGTTGTACACAACTTCGTTGGCCTGCACGCGGTCTCTTTCAAGTTGCCGAAGCAGCTCCAAGGCTTGACTCCATCCGCTGCCTCTCTCGCAGGCAGACACGGCGGCACTGTAGGTGACAACGTTGTACAAGCCCTCCCTCCGAAAGTCTGTGAACAGTGATAGGGCAACCTGCCACCGCCCACCCTTTTCACAGGCACTGATGGCAGCTGAAGCTGTGACAATGGTAAGTTGCACATTCTTCACAGCAAGCTCTGCGAGCAAACAGATGGCCTGCTCCCAAAACCCGGTGTTTTCACACGCGCTTATGGCTGCATTGTACGACACCGCGTTCGGCTGCAGGTTGTGGTCGGCAATGCTTGCAAGCAGCATGATACCTTGCTGCCAGCGAGAACTCTTTTCGCAGGCGCTGATCGCCGCATTGAAGCTGGTCAAATCTGCCTCCAACTGTACGTCAAAAAGTTGCGAGAGAAGCGCCAAAGCTTCTTGCCATCTTCTGCTCTTCTCGCAGGCACTAATCACAGAGTTTACACTGATTACATCTGCCTCCACACTCTGCGTGGCTGCCTGCTGAAACAACATCAAGGCCTGCTGCCATTTTTTGGCCTTGCCACAAGCACTCATTGCAGCATTCAGTACAATGAGCGTGCACTGCAATCGCTGCATTTCCAGGTCACTCAACAAGAGCACAGCTTCGTGCCATCTCCCAGCCGTTTCGCAACACTTGATGGCTGCCCCATATGTGAGAATGCTAGGCCCGGCACGACGCTGCTTCAGGTCTTCCAGGATGAGAAAGGCCAGCTCCCACTGTCCACCTTTCTCGGCGGCCACGATGGCAGCAGACTTGAGCCCAACGTCCTTCTGGCCCTCTTCCACTACTGCTCCCGTGAGAAGAGAAACTGCATGCTGCCACTGCCTGCATTGTCCCAATGTTGCACCCGCATCGTGCAAAATTCCTTCCTGGTGGCCCGAAGCATCGCACATAATATCGCAGTGTTGCTCGAGGCAAACGATCATCAGTTCCCACTTACGGCCGATTCCCAAGGCATTCACGTCACTTCGGAGGCTGAAAACATCAAAACCTTGCAAGGGACCCTGCTTCTCAACCTTCTGTGACATGTGCAGAACTTGCTGCCACTGCTTCTGTCCTTGAGCTGCTGTGATAGTTGCCTGGAGTAGCCCACCGTCCGCTCGCAATCTGTCCTCCTCCACGCAATGAAGCAAGTGCAAAGCAGCTTGCCACTGGCCAGCCGCGCCACATGAAGCAATGGCTGAACTGTAGGCCACCACATCCAACTGCAGCCGGATTCGGGACATGTGCCCCAACAGCAGCAGTGCTTCGTGCCAGCGTGAGGCTGATTGGCACGAGCTCAGAGTAGAACTGTAGATGATCACGTCGAGCTGCATCTGACAGGACCCTGCTCTCCTTAGCAGGGACAGCGCCTGTTGCCACTGGCTGCCCCTCTTGCACGCACTTATGGCTGTGCTCAAGAGTATGATGTCTGCCTTCAGTCGTGTTCGCTCCATGTCATCCAACAGCTGTAAAGCTGCTGGCCATTGGTGCCCTCGCTCACACGCTGTCAAGGCCATGCTGTACATAATAACATCTGCTTGTACCCCACCCCGGAGCTCCAGAAGAAGCACAGCCGCCTGCCACCTAGCCAGTCTTGCATAAGCTTTCAAGCTGGCTCTTGTCGACTGCCCCACCTCGCCCAAGAGATGCTTCTTCGCCCGGTCTACCATTTATGTCACACCCTGAATAACCTCCAGAGCAGGCATCCCTTTCTTGGCTTTGTGCCTCCGCATGCTTTCGGACGGCCCGGGCGCTGCGAGGCCCCTGCCTAAGTTGCCGAAGCAACTGGCCCAAGCCACCGAAGATGGGCCATGCTCCGAGATCTGCGAGCCAGAAGCTGCTCAATGCTGCCTTTGCGACACGCATTGCTTCTTGCTTTGAACCTCCCGGATCCTACCTGGCCCAAGTTTTGTCAGACATGTCAGTATCTCGGTAGCTGCATGGTGGCTGTGACGCCGATGGCTTCAACGGTGCGAACTCAGCTTTCAATGAGTTCCTCTACTGGCTCCCGGCTGACCTAATATCAGTGGCATTACCAGGGCCCCGTCTGCGGTCCTCCGCCTGGCCCTGGACCTTGTCACCATGGACTGGGCTTTTGGGGTCGAAGCACATAAGGTCCTTAGCCAGAGAAGTACTCTCAGCGAGAGTGGGTCACCGAAATCCAACCAAGGCCCCTGCCTGAGCCATGCTTGTCAGGCAGCAATGGTTGAGGGGGCTCTGCTTTCGACAGCTGATGCGGCTGCTCCAGAGAATCGAGGAATCGAGGAGCAAAAAGAAGCTTGTGTGCTGCAACACATATACAATTACTGACATATACAAATGCACGTCAAGCTCTTCAGGCCGGGTGCCCTGAGGTTGGCGCGTCTTGCGTTGTGTGCCTGAAGGCGTGCGCGAGGTTCGGCCGGACACCCTAATAAGACACTCTTTCAGTGGATGACTCGGAGCAGCGCCAGCCATACAGCTTCGTGAAGACAAAGTTGGGTCTCTTTCGATGGCTTCTCAGGTAAGCCTTACATGCTGAAGCCAAGTTCACTACACAGGAGCCAGCTTACAGAATTCAGGGGCTGCGAAAGCTGCCAAGCCACCAGGGAAAAGTCTAAGACTTCTTCAGACAGCAGCTTGGTGCCAGCACACCTTGTGCAGAGGCTCGGAGGGTTGAGGAGAAAGCGCGTGCCTTCAAAACCCGACTCCCTATTCCACCTCGGGCACAGCGTCGAGCCATGCCGCTGACGGCGCGCTGCACAGGGGGAATGCCTGGTCGTCTCCAGAGACGCATGCACTCGGAACAATCACGACTGTAGAGACATCTGGAGCGGTCAAACCATCTCCCGCATGGACAGACAGAGACACTGCATCGCACCGCAACGCTCGTGCCGAGTGGCGCCGCCTTTCTTTTGAAATGGATACAAGGATACTCAACAGCGATCGTCCGAATGGCCAGGCTGGACTGGCGAAAATGGCATCTTTGCCAAATCGATCCTGTACAAATATCAAGGACAGTAACGGCCATTTGGATCCCGCCATCTCACGCCGTGTTCTTCTCAATCTCACGATCAAACTCCTCCTGGCTCGGAAAATCTCCGAAGTACAGGTCTCGGTCTCGACGAATTTCCTCAAACTCAGACATCAAGAAAGAGGCACGACCCTCCACGACTTTCAGAATGATTGGCAGGAGCGCTGCAGGGAAGGGGCAAGCCGAACTTTCGACGGGGCGGTTGCTCCAGACAAAAGATGATCAAAGAACCAAGGTCCAAGAGCACCCAAGCATCTGTGAAGGAGGTCAGGCAGGTCGTCAGCTGTGTCTGAAGAGGCGGCTCCGCCAGCCCAAGCTTGCTCAAAAGTGTCCCTGCGAAAGAAGCCTCTGGCGAAGCTTCCTTTCTGAAGGCTTTCTTGAGGGCTTTAGGTGTGGAAGATGCAGGTTGGTTGGATCGACTCTCTCTGTCTGCTCTGCCTGACTGGTCGCACATTGTCCCGCACTTCAAATGAAACGTAACTGAAAAGGTATAAGAAGATCGTCACTGAACTTTACTTATCCAGTTTGAAGTGTGCAAGTGTGTCATCTATGCTGGTTCTCCGTACCAGCAGTCTACGTACAGAAAATCCAACACCCATCGAGCGAAGAAAACACAAGCGGTGAAAGCCAAAAGCGGCAAGTCGGCCCTCGTAAATAACCTGATGATAATGACCAGGGCCAGGAGAAATGAGCTATTGAGCTACAAACTTGGCAGGAGTAGCTGTTGTACTCCACTTGCATTTCTTCCCGTGCCGGACCCTTCGTAAGTCCTATGAAACCTGTCTCGAATGGGATCGAACAGCCCTAGAGGCTTGTGGAACCCTTATTGACTTCATGTGTTCTGACCATGGCACGGCCCCATAAAGTGATCGTCTCAAAGGACCGGCAGAATCGCCGGGGCCCAGCGACAGGTCCAGCAAGGCGTGACCTTCCGGCACCTCGGCTGCAAAAGATAGCTTCCTAGACTTCTCCTTCCCTGACTTCCTTCCTGGGTGCGTGCGTGTGTGCATGCATGCATGCACACATATACACATATTCGTATAAATCTACATATACATACATATATATATATACAGGTATGCATGTATATTTTTATGACTGCGTACGTATGTATAATGCGAAATGGCATCACCTGACCTGAACTTGATTTGATATGACGCATCTATGCAGGTAAACAAGTAGTTAAGTAAACACGCACATGCACAAAAGGAGTAATCTACGTGTGATTGTCTGTGTATGTGTGTGTGTGTGCGTGTGTCTGCACGCGCTTCTTAGTTTGCGTTTTGCGTGTCTATCAGCAGACTTTCAAGGTATCCCTGAAAATGTGTGCGTGCGCGCCGCAACCCCTAGCGGCAAGTCCCTTCAAAGGACCCAAAAGTTTAGGGTATGTGGATGCGCAACTACAGGACAGATGACTTGAGCTGCGCTTGCCTATGGACGCTGATTGACAGTGCCTGCATGTCCTGGATTCTTGTGACGATGTGCATGCCATGCCATGCTGGCTGCAATAGTGTGGATGCATGTGCGTGTGTGTGTGTGTGTGTGTGGGTGTGCGTGCGAGGCGCGTGCGCGCACGCGTGCACGTGTGCGTGTGCATGTGCGTTGAGGGGGCTCTTGTGCTTGCAAGATATGAGGTTGCACGATGGCGTTCCTGATCGCTGTACTAGCGCTGCTGCTGATGATGACAATACTGCAGCTCCTCCTCGAGCTGACGGGCGAACTGGTACAGACTGAGCGGAAAAAGCGTGTCCCGTAAGGCACGTGGAGTGTACCCCTACTACTACTACCACCACCACCAATACTACTACTACTACTACTACTACTACTACTACTACTACTACTAGAGCTACTACAGCTACTACAGCTACTACAGCTACTACAGCTACTACCGCTAAAGCTACTACAGCTACTACTACAGCTACTCGCCGCCACCGCCACCACCGCCACCACCCCCGCCACCGCCACCGCCACCACCAGCACCACCAGCACCACCAGCACCACCAGCACCACCAGCACCACCAGCACCACCAGCACACCCACACCACCAGCACCACCACCACCACG